AACAGTGAAACTGTAGTAGAGATATAGTGTAATAAGAACAGTAAAACTGGAACAGCGATACAGCGTAACTGTATAATAAGAACAGTAAAACTGTAGCAGAGATAAAGCATAACTGTATAATAATAACGGTGAAATTGCAGTAGACATATAGTGTAACTGTATAATAAAAACAGTGAAACTGTAGTAGAGATATAGTGTAACTGTATGATAGAAACAGTGAAAATGCAGCAGAGATACAGCATAACTGCATAATAAGAACAGTAAAACTGCAGTAGAGATACAGCATAACTGTATAATAAGAACAGTGAAACTGCAGTAGATATAGTGTTACTGTATAATAAAAACAGTGAAACTTTAGTAGAGATATAGTGTAACTGTATGATAGGAACATTGAAACTGTAATAGATATATAGTGTAACTGTATGATAAAAACAGTGAAACTGCAGAAGAGATAGAGTAACTGTATAATAAGAACATTGAAACTGTAATAGAGATATAGTGTAACTGTATGATAAAAACAGTGAAACTGCAGAAGAGATAGCGTAACTGTATAATAAGAACAGTGAAACTGCAGCAGAGATACAGCATAACTGTATAATAATAACAGTGAAACTGCAGCAGAGATACAGCATAACTGTATAATAATAACAGTGAAACTGCACCAGAGATACAGCGTAACTGTATAATAAGGACAGTAAAACTGCAGCAGGGATACAGCATTACTGTATAATAATAACAGTGAAACTGTAGTAGAGATATAGTATAACTGTATAATAAGAACAGTAAAACTGCAGCAGAGATACAGCGCAACTATATAATAAGAACAGTAAAACTGCAGCAGAGATACAGCGTAACTGTATAATAAGAACAGTAAAACTGCAGCAGAGATAAAGCATAATTGTATAATAATAACAGTGAAACTGCAGTAGAGTCATAGTGTAACTGTATGATAGAAACAGCGAAACTGTAGTAGAGACATAGTGTAACTGTATAATAATAACAGTGAAACTGCACCAGATATACAGCATAACTGTATAATAATAACAGTGAAACTGTGGTACAGATATAGTGTAACTGTATGATAAGAACAATGAAACTGCAGCGAAGATACAGCATAACTGTATAATAAAAACAGTGAAACTGTAGTAGAGATATACTGTAACTTTATAATAACAGTGAAACTGTAGTAGAGATATAGTGTAACTGTATAATAAAAACAGTGAAACTGCAGAAGAGACAGTGTAACTGTATAATAAGAACTATGAAACTGCAGCAGAGAAACAGCATAACTGTATAATAATAACAGTGAAATTGTAGTAGAGATATAGTGTAACTGTATGATAAGAACAATGAAACTGCCGGAAAGATCCAGCATAACTGTATAATAAGAACAGTGAAACTGCAGTAGGGATAAAATGTAACGGTATTATAATAACAGTAAAACTGCAGTAGAAGTATGATTGTGTTATAAGTTTAACTGTATTTTAATAACAGTAAAGTGCAGCACAGATAAAGTTTAAATGTATTATAATAATAGTGGAAATATAATAAATATAAAGTACAAGTAACTGCACTATAACAACAGTAATATAATAATGCAGTAAAGACATAGTATAACTGTAGTAAAAATATTTAGGTATAACTGTAATATATGTGTACTATACTGTATGACTGTGTTACTTTAGGCTTAAATGTGTTTTCCAAGTATAAGTAGGCCAAGATTATTAGTAAAAAGTTAGATAATGAAATATGACTTTCGTAATAAGGTTTTGTTTCTTTTTTTTAATAATAATCTTTTTTATCGTCTAGTATAATTTCAATGGTTTTTAAAGAAATTTACGATAGGTTTTATGTTGGTGTTCTTCAGAAGGACTTCATGTGTTTGTATAAACACATTTTTTAACTGATGTCAGAATTCAAAATGTTAAAAAAAATCTTTATATCAAGCTACTTATTAACACATAATAGCAAGGTTTTTCTTACAGTTTTCTTCATAGCTGTTTAATCCATAAAAATTTGTTCAGATTAATTTCTGATGTTTCAACGTATGAGCATTTAACTAACATTCAATTGTATCTGTAAAATCAGTTAACCCAGAAGACAGCTGATATTATAGAATCAAATGCTTTTGAATTAAATAAAATCAAGACCATTAAGAAAATATCTTGCTTTTACATGTTAATTTGAATATTTATCATATACATTACTAGCCTAAAACATTATTTATATCACAAAATTTCTATTTGTCATGTAGTTACAGACAAGAAACAAACAGAACTAACTCTTTTTTCTGTGATAAAATTTCCTCATTATCTGCTCCAACCAGACTGGTTGCACACGGTGTTTGTGTTGGACTTAGTAATGATGGTCGTGTTGATAACTACAAAGAAAGTATTAAAAGTTTATTGAACTCTAAACAATGTTATAAGACTAGTTATAAAAATTACAAGTTATGCTTCTTTATTAAAATGCCTTCTGTTGTTATACTATTATTAATGCTGGTATATACACTGAGTGGTCACATGTAAATAGACACCTAATTTTTCGTTTGACATATATGCTAACTAATTTGTGTTCACAGATCACTATATAAATGAAAATGGTCTGCACACTAATTACGTTGTGCTACAACATGTCTAGAACTCAAGGTTCTGTTGAAATGTCAGATTTTGTTAGAGCAGATGGTGGAAAAAGTCAGCAGCAAATTTCACAAAATTTGGGAATCTTGCTTTCGACAGTCAACAGAATCAACTTGCAGTTCAGGAAACACGGCAAGGAAACAACTGAGCAGCATCCAGGTCATCCTGGTCCATCGGAGAGGACAAAAAGGGCTGTCAAGAGGATCATCGAAATGGATCCCAGATTAACGACTGTAGAAGTGGCCAAAGTTGGTGGGAGGAGCCTGAAATCTGTTCAACAGATTCTCCACAGATTGGGTTATCGTTGCAGAGCAGCTAGACGGAAGCCCTTATTTGGACATGCCAACATAGTCAGACGAAAGAAGTGGGCAAGTG